AGAGCGTATATAGCTGAGCTAGTAACAATTATGCCAGTAAAACAGGCATATATTGGGGCAGTTCTGGGCAAACTAGGAATTCTCCAAGAAATGTAAAACCAATGATACTATATTTCAGATGAGGAAAGGAGAGATAATTATTTACCAGGTTTTGAATCATGGATCTATTACCATTTAGCTGCAACAACAATAGATAATTTCCTTAATCTCTACATAGTTTCAATTTCCTCACTTTGAATGGAGACCATAGGGTTGTATGATCATCAATTAAGTAGATCTTGTGAAATCATAGTGTAGTAACTGACACACAATCAAAGCTATATAGGTACTTGCTCTTAAAAGAGAAAACACTTTATGAAGAAGAATTTGAGTTGGGCCTTGAAAAACATAGAATAGCAACATGTAGAAAATATGAAAATGAGAGAAACTATGATTATACATCAGATATATATGGGAAATGAAAAATGGTCTAGCTTGACTGAATTGCACGGAATGGAACGTAATGGCATGTACATCAAGAGAAGGCAGTGCATGAGAAACATGAAATGTAAAAAAAATTTAGACTTTTACTCAGCAAGCAATGGAACATCACCAAACGCTTTATGTGGGACTAACTTCAGAGAATAGATTACATTTGAAGAAGAACAAGTAGATGTGCATAGAGGTCACATGATAATTTGGAACAAGCAAGATTACACCTCATTTCTGTGTTAACTAACCTACAGCCTTGATCTTTTCACTATGCCATATAGGATCTTTATGAACCCTGTTGCCATCTATGGAGATATATTTAATAAACACATTGTTTGAAGAAGAAGTCCAATGGGTAAGTAATGGTCAAAATGCAAGCACTGAAACCAACCATGTTACCTTATATAAACTCAATATTCTTAGTTTTAAAAGGGACAGTATTTGTCACAGAGTTGGTGAATATAAAAATTCCAGTTTTCTAAAATTGTCTATTAAATTTCTGGAATGGTTTCCTGCTGCATGTACTTCTACATGTACCCTTAAAATAAAACCCCATTAACTGAAGTTACTTGAATTTATATTCATTCTTTACAACCTATAAAAGTTTAATTGGTCTTTAGTGATTCAAATTACTTTATGGGAATTAAATACAACATTTTTTGCTTGGAACATACTGGATGCTTAACACGTAGTGGCTATTTTATTATAGCATTAAGATCAGAAATGACCCATCTACAGGGAAGCTTTATAGTATAGTGGGTAAGAGCAAGGAATATGGATCCTGACTACCTGTTACAAAACCCAGCTTTGACATTTACTTATCATGAGATCCAGGGCAAGTTACTTGTATATTTAATTTTTAATCCTCACCTGAAGATATTTTTCCATTGATTTTTAGAGAAAGTGGAAGACAGAGGGAAATATTGATGTGAGAGAAACGCATTGATTTGTTGTCTCCTACATGTGCCCCAACCAGGGCCTGGGCTGGGGAGGAGACTGCAACCAAGGTACATGCCTTTGACCAGAATCAAACCCCAGATCCTTCGGTCCACAGGCCAATGGCTCTATCCACTGAGCTAAACCGGCAAGGGCTAAATTTCCAAAATCTGTGCTCATGCTGCTACTAGTCTATTGTTTTGTTGCCAAAGAGCTACATTTTCCTCTTCCTCTCTATATGTCCTAGCTCAGCAGTTCTCAACCTGTGGGTCGCGACCCCTTTGGGGGTCGAACGACCCTTTCACAGGGGTTGCCTAAGACCATCAGAAAACACATATATAATTACATATTGTTTTGTGATTAATCGCTATGCTTTAATTATGTTCAATTTGTAACAATGAAATTGGGGGTCACTACAACATGAGGAACTGTATTACAGGGTCTCAGCATTAGGAAGGTTGAGAACCACTGTCCTAGCTTCTGCAAATTTCTGGCTTCTCTTGTCACTTCAGTTATATTGCTTCATTGTTCTACTGCATATTCCATTTGCTTTCTAATTCTGCACACTGAATTTCTGCAATTCTCCTATACTCTAATTTCTATTGACCCTACATATAGGTCTAACATAAATACATCCTCAGTGAAAGATATGATTGGTACAGTTGGTGGAGTATAAAGGTTGCTAAAGAGAAGAATTTATTTTCTTCAGAGCTTGACCATTTTTAGTGATGTTTGTGTTTAGTGGATATAGTTGGCAAAGTAGTATTCTAATAGGATGGCTGTCCTAAAGAATATGATACAAGGAAAGGGGGGTAGAGTTCAAAAAGAAAATTCTAGTCTTATTAGTATAGGGGTCAGAGATGGAATTCTGATCTAAGGACTGGAAATTTAAAATGGGACCCCTTCATGGAACCACAGAAGGAGGAACCACACTATCTGCACATAAATATCTCTCAGTTTAGCACTATACAGATCATTTAATTATACGGTGCAAATATTCAATACCAAATAATTATTTCTGTTACATTTCTCTGCCCAAGCATCATCTTATATGTACATGAACACATGATAGTAAATTTAAGATAACTGAAAGGTTATAGATAATGATAATATTACTTCTGCATTGTAGAAATCAGCTAACACCCAACTATCATCTGATATCTCTAAAATAGTTATAACATTCCACACTTATTACATTTAAAACATGTAGTAAGATTTTCTGATTGCCTTTAGTATACTCACAAGGAAAGAGTACAACTATATGCTGCAGACATTTCAAATGAATGAATAAACAAAAATGTAGTCATAAAAATTAAGCAAGTGTATAGTTCCAAGCAGAATTTTTATAACTTTCAAAAGAGAGGAAGGGAAGAGATACTGTTGTTTCTTCATTAAAGTAACTCAAAAGTAAACAAAAATTTGACTATAAACTCTTGTTTGTTTTATGACCTATTTTTTCTTTCATGTAGAAACTTTCAAAGGCATTATTTATTTATTTTTGTGCATCTTAGCCTAATTGATTGAAGGGAATGAACTTTTCTTCACTTTTAGAAAATCAGTACCTCCTTCAGGCCAGATTTCCTTCTGAGTGAGAACTGATTTTATGGAGGTCAGCAGAAGTGAAACAACTGTACGAGTCAAATTTCCATTCAGGAATGTGCAGACTTTGGCCAACACTGTCATGTCTATGGCTCACATATTGTTTCTGTGAATTCACCATCAAGTAAGATGCCTGAAATGAAGCAGTGCTCAAGTGGCCTAAAGAGGCATAAAGTGGGTATTTTGTTTTAGACTGAGGTAATTGTTTTCAGTTTTTATTTTTAAATCTAATGTGTATTAACCTTTAATTGAAAAAGTAGAGAAAGCACATGATAAGAATAATTTTTTAAGGCTGTCTTTTCCCCACTCTATTTCACTTGCCCCTTTCTCTAAAAGCAGCCACTGATACAAATCTTTTGGTTTTATATCCTAAATTATTTTATTATTTGGAAACAAATGGTAATATGCTGTCTATAGCAATAAATGTAATTAAATACACAGTTGCAAAAAAACCCTTATAAATATATTCACAGCTAGTAATATAATTTAAAATTCCAAGATCCAAACCTTAATTTCAGAAAGTGTGCTCTTGCTTCCTGTGCAACTCAACTGTAGTAAGCACACATTGTAAAGTACGTTCAAAAGCATGATGTACAAGTGAGAGTTCTGATGCATTGCTTTTGAGTTGGAAGTGAAGCCACCTGGAAGTTCTGAGCTTGAAAGAAATGCCTCATCAATGGCTTTCCTCCACTCTCCCTTTCTTCCTGAGATGGTACTCAAGCCCTGTCTCGCGATCCTTAGAGGGACACAGGAAAAGGCAGACTTTACTTAGGCACCATTGTTCTGTATCCAAACTAATTCGTGAACCCAAAACATGGCATGACCTGGAGCAGAGCTGTTATAAAAATGTAATTCTCCTTTAACCCCTCCATGTAAATCATCAGAAAGCTTCCCTCAATGATTTAAACAAATTTGGTCTTTGACCTCTAGAGTCAGAATTGACCTCAACAACTCTTTCAGATGGTTGTAATATTGACTGTTTGATGTATGTCAACTACCATAAAATCCAATGCTATTTCATAACAGATCTTCTAATAATGCCACATATGCCCAAAGTCATGGTAACAGTCTCTTTATTCCAAGCAAGTCAGTAGCATGAAATACTGCAGATTAATGAAATAATGCCCTTTGTTGCATCAAGCTTTGGCATCTAATGCAACTGTGATTTGCGGTATTGTTCAACCAGTTGCAACACCTGTCAATGTGCTTCCTATAGAACTTCAAAAGACCTCTAATAAATACCAAATGCTTGAAAGGGTTCTCATGTGTATACGTAAGAATTTTTCTGGGTCTGTGATTTTTGTGGTACTTAACAACCCGTTCAGTACAATAGTTCATAAACCAATCGGTTCCATAATGATCTTTCTGCAAACATTCAAGTCTGACAATTTGAGATATCACAGAAGACTCAAAAAATTATATTTATTCATTTTTCTGGTGGGAAAAAACCTACCCTAACAATATATTTAACACCTTTTAAATAAAATTCAAACTCTAAAATTAAAGCAAGATTTCCAAACAAAAAATATTTTTATAATTTTTTAGGCATTAAAATTTTGTCAAGGAATTTTAAAGAACTTCCCACTTATATGATATGTAAATATTATACATTTATATATGTAATTAAATACTCATAAATTTTATATATAAATTTATATCTTTATATTAAAATAAATTTCAACATCTTTTGGCAAACAATGTTTAATAAACTGCAATACAGGAAGATATTGTATTGAATAAAGTATTAAAATGTTTTGGTACTTAATAGTTCAAAAATGGTTTTATTTAATTGAGACCAACTGGCCTCATTGCTTCTTATAAACTTTGCAATATATATTCAGTAAAAAGGAATAAAAATGAACAGATGTTTCTCCTTAAAGAATGCAGACAAAGATTTTCTTACACAATAAATCAGCTGCTAGTGGATTTCCAGGACATTGCTGCAGGCTAGTTAGATATAAAACTTAAAAAATATATAAAATAAAAGGATTTACCTCTGTGTGGATCCAAAACTGGTAGAGGAGATTGAACTGAAGATGAACAGCATATACCGAAGGTGGTACAAAGAGAGCCAGGGGAGAGTAGAATATCTAAAAGATTAAAAATTTTTAAATTTGCACATATGATTTCTCAACATACTGTTACTAATGGTTCAACATCTGAATATACACTTCAGCAAATATATCTCATTCTTTCACAAATTTACCTTATTTCTTATGTTTTATTGTCATGTTTGACTTTGCAACATTAGTTTGCAACATTAGTTTTCCACATGGTGATAAAGTTGGAGATATATTAGAGCTATTTTGCACTTCATGTTGTCTAGTTAAAATACCATACGTGGTGTGTTATATCCTTAATCCTTAAAAGACTGGATGTACTTCCTGGACTTAAAGAGATTTTCTATACAGACACACACACTTACTTTAAGTAAAAGAAATGCAGGATCATGTGTCTTCATACCTCGACAGCTCCCAAAGTCTGTATGTATTATACCCTGGCATTTTTAGTAGTAACATAAAATTATAATAAAACAGTGATTTTTTTATCAAGAGAGGGTAAAATAAATTTTCCCTTTTAAATTTGTTTTTATGTGGTTGATCGAGGGTACAATACATCCTAATTTTTCCAAAGTTAGCAAGTCAGGGGCTATGATATAGTGCCATAGTGCAAACAAATTTTAAAGTTGAATATTTCCTAACGGATGGAAATGTCTCTGCCTTAAAAAAAAAAACAAATTATGCTTAAACCACAGAGCTGGTTAGAATCAACTAATAAGCACAATCTGCTGTATTCTCCTAATGACTTTGATCCCCAAGAGTGGTTTCATGTTGTAGGAAAACATCTTATTAAATAAAAACACTAAACAACCAAATAGGAATAAAAAGAAGCTGACTTCCTCTTTATGTTTTGTATTTTGTAGAGTTAATATTTCCAACATTCTAGATATTTTAAAATATTTCTTCTGAATGTTAAATTTTTATTTCTAAATTATTTTAAAGGTTTTGTTCTCAATTAGGCCAAATATATTTCAACAATGTTTAGTAATGAGTATGCAGTAGAAATTGGTCATTTACATAAACTCTTCTGGCTTCTGTTTCTAAACTTAAGCCATGAAAAATCTCAACTGTCATTTCTCTGATCAAACAAGATCAGTTTTATCATTTATAAATGCATCAATAGGCAATTAATTAGATTAGTGAGCAACAAAAAAGTATTGTGCTCTTCAAGATATGCACTTTTAAGCTTTGGTTCTACTACAGAATCTCTCTATGACATTCACAAAGTTCTTAAATTTCTCGAGGCTTCTGTTTTCTCAAATGTATTGTGAAGAGGAAAAACATTTGAAATCTAGCCATCATTTTGGTTCCAAAAGATCTGTGATACTGTAATATGAATTTTTTGTAATATATAAAAATAGTTCTCTTATAATCGGTTCAAAAAACTATTTAAACACATATATGACATATGATATAAGTACTCTGAGTTAAGGAGTATTTTGCAATCTTTAAGCTGTGAGTAAAAATGTAAGACAACTTGGATGCTTAATAAATTGTCTATTTGGAAAGAGAGTGCATACCAGATGAATATTCATGGTTCATTATAATACCCCAAAGTATGGAGAAATAATCCTTTGAGATAGTAACAGCCGTTATGGAAGAGGGGGTTCTATGCTCAAATAAATTGTGAAGCGGTGAGTTAAACAAGTGGAGTTCAGCGCAGAACTTCTCAGAGCCTTTACCACTCTGTGGTCAACCACAAGCCTGTTACCCTATAGAATACTTTCTTAATAAGTTTTCCGTAGGATTGGATTTCCTAAAAACACACTTGAGGAAACAATGTCTCAGTTCTTACAAATCATTAAATATATGAACTGACAATTAGAAAAATGAACTCAGCATGAATGTCAGAAAATCACCTTTCTAATAAGAAATAAAGAAAGGAAGTAAGGTCAGGGAGTGACATGAATCACATGAAATTTAAATTCTTGTGATTAACATAGTACTGTAAAAAGAATCTAATGATATAATCAAAATTCTAATTTCTATAGCTTAGTAAATGTCATCGAGATCTGAGGATTATCACTCATCTTCTCTACCTCCAATCTTTGCATTCCCAAATTATAGTTTTTAAAACCAATTTAAATGCCCCTTCCATCAGAAAGCCTCAAATGGTACTAATTTGACAGAATAAATTTCTCCTTCTTCAAACTTAAACTCTCAGAACCTGCCAGGAGACATTATACTATTTAACAAATATATCAATTTCTGACATGCATCCAAACTCATGTCATTCTCACTCCAAGGTTCTTAAGGTTACACTGGTGTACCATAGGTTATTTTATTATCTTTTGATAAAAGTCATATATAGTAAGTTCTTTTTTTATAATTGAATTTTATTTTTATTAATTTTTATTGTTGAAAATATTATATATGTTCCTTATTTTCCCCACTGACCCCCTACATCACCCCGCCAACCCAGCCTCAGCCCTTCATCACCCTATCATCTATGTCCCTGGGTTATGCAAATATGCATACAAGTTCTTTGGTTGATCTTACCCACACCACCTTCCCTCTAAGATTCAAAAGTCTGTGCCATGCCTCTATGTCTCTGGATCTATTTTGTTCATCAGTTTAGTTTGTTCATTAGATTCCACATATGAGTGAGATCATGTGATACTTATCTTTCTCTGACTGGCTTATTTTGCTTAAAGGAAAGGAATAACCCAGACCTGTGTGTGTGAGGAGGAATGATAATAAGCCTCAGGGTGACCTCAGGCTAAAGGAGAGAGAAGATGAGTGTTTTAGTCTATTCTTCAATTGAAGGAGGCAGGTGGGGTTTTGTGAGGGGTACCCTGAGCAAGGACCAATATGGCATTTAGGGGGAAACGTAAGTATTTTGGCATTGCTGAAGGTATTGGAGAATGTGGCAAGAGACTGGTTGGGACCATGGCACTCATATAAAGATCTCAAGGAGTCCGTGAACATCCTTGCTATCACCAAAAGAAAGTGTAAGCTTGTGTTCATGAGGGAATGTGCAATTTTCTGAAGAAACATTCCACATCTTTCATCAGGGAGTCTGTGATAAAGATAATTTAGACATCAGTCAAACCAAAGGAAAAGCCCTTAAATGCCATTCTAAGGATATTGAATTTATCCGAGGCCAGGAAGGTGCAGTTAATGGTGTTTTTAAAGCTTGTCAGAGATATAAAAACGGGTTTGAAATCTATTTTAATAGCCCAGTGAAAGATCAGGCACTGGGGAGGGAGAGGCAGAATACTAAAGGAGATCTAACTATTTAAACATGGAAGATTAGAGGGACAGAAGAATATCAGAAGACACCCAGATTTCTGGCTTGTTTTTTGCACGACGTAACCAAAACACTGAACAGGAGGAAGAAAAGGTTATAAAGTTCAACTTAGGAAATGTTTTGTTGGAGTCCTTGTAGTACTAATATATCCCACGGAAACTGCTGAGTAAGCAAATCTGTTGTGCAAATATCAATTGAACTAAAAATGACACTGGATTTGCAGATGTGGATCAGTGGAGCAGTAGGTCTAGAATCCAGATCTAAGTAAGTTTAAAAATCACTCTGAGAAACTGATGGAATAGAGGTAGATATTACTTCTTTCTTTCTTGAACAAGGACGGAGTGAGCTGGAGGTATTCCCTGGAAAGAACATGTGGATGAGCAAGGAGATTTAATTTTTAAATGTGGAAGATGTTAATATATTTAAGGTGTATTCAGAAGGAACCAGCTGGGAAGAAGAGGGACAAATGCCAAAACTAGCTGATCAAAGTCCAAGAAAAGAACTAAGATAGAAGCAATGTCACAATCTAAGGACTAGACCTGCGGAAGAGAGGTGAACATTTTCTATAAAAGTAGATAAAAATCACATAATCTCACTCATATGTGAAATATAATGAACAATATAAACTGATGAACAAGGTAACACTGAATGGGGGGTAGGAGTGGCTGGAGGGGGGGTCAATTGGGGGAAATGGAGATATGTAATACTTTAAACAATAAAAAAAAAGAATGAGGTACATATGTATGTACTTACATGAGAAAAGCTCCAATAGAAATATGTGAGCCACATATGTAATTTTTTACATTTATAGTAGCCATGTAAAAATTCAGTAAAAAGAAACCAGTGAAATTAAAAAAAAAGTAGGGGTAAGAAACCACATGTACTTATAAATTCACAAATCTTAATGAAGATATCTGAACAGTAATTAGAGAGTGGGAAAACCTCACATTTCTCTGTGAAGTTTAAGATACATCCATTGGCTGACAGAAAGGAACAGCAGTGGAGAAGAGACAGCAGTTCTGGAAAGGCTTCTCCCAGGCAGGCAGAAGGCTCCTGTGTACAGTTTGGTGAGCAGCACTGACAGCTCAGCTGTATCTGGAAGCCGTATACTGAGGAGCACTGCACTGCCCAGCTGGTGCTAGAGGACACCATGGCGCTCAACAGTCAGAGTGTGGGAGTGAAGTAGGTGGGTGACCGGATTCAAGCACAGCTTGGGGAGTTGAATGCAGATGTAACCGAAGGCAGGGACTACTGTCCAAAATCGTGGAAATTAGGTTGAGGGAAGTAGGAAATAAAGCCACAAAGCATGACAACTGAGAGAAAAAGCAGAGACTGAGAGAGGAAAGCTGCCCATGAATAAGCTGCTAAGCATAAAGGTTGAAGTGCAGTGAATAATTAATTTTTAAAAAATGAAAAAAGTATTTCTAAGCTCCAGGACTAATGTCTATGTTATTTTAATAAAGTAGTTTAACGTTACTAACATCTGCACGTCTATGATTCTCATTTTCAAATAATATTACTTTAGATACAACAACTTCCTACATAACTGAGAAACAAAAGATTGAATCATCAAGCAACTATTCCACATTTCTTATGTCTATGTTTAATAGTGACACAGAACCCAATTCTCTGGTTGCGCATAGAAAGTAGTGATCTCTATCATTAAAACACATCTTAAATTGTACTTTTGGAATAAGTGCTTTAGGTCCATCGTTCTGTTCCCATGTCTATGGGTATATCCATTTCCTCTTTTGCTCATTCCACCTTCTTATACATCCTG